AGCCTTTCCCTACATATATTACACTGCCATGATGCGGAGCAGATATTAAGTCAAGAGCAAGGTAAGTCTAGCAGTGCCAAGACAGTTGCCGTTTCCTTGTGACACATAATTTACTGTTTGTTCTGTCTGACCCTCACCCTTTTCTGCTATGCCTACTTCAATGTGATCATGGTCAGAATGGGAAGCAGAGAGCATTTTTATCTCTGGTTAGGTACCTAGTGAGACACAAGGTGTCTTCACTGAAGCTCTCTGTTCACATTACAGTGAACAGCAAAACTCATGCTGAACACATGGGAAAAGCTGGGCTGAGACTAGTCTTGTAGAAATCCCGCTCTGCACATCAGCACGTGCAAGACCACTTGCAGCCTAGAGGTAGAGTGTGACAGCCAAGATGTGCAAATTTGGTAAAGCCTCCAGTGCAGCAGTTTTCTCCTGTGCTGAATTAATAGTTTCAAAGCAAGTTCCTTGTTGTTCTAATCAACAGCACTTAACAAAACTGCCTTGCTACTTATCAAAGCTCTACACAAATATTTACCCATGCCTTTGCCATCTGCAGGACCTTCCAGTGAGGGAACAGCAGCACCAGGCCCCTGAACAGAGTCTCTCTCAACACCGTGCTAGTGGCCAAGACTTACCCTGGGCTCGCAGGGCTGTGACCTTGCTGAATGGCCACACCACACTGGTCCTAGGAATATAGTGCTTTCTGTATAAAGAGTGCCCGAGTCTGCTTACAGAGCAGGTGGACCTAAATGACACAGTGGTATCCTTAACACAGAAGTCTAGCATCTTCTGCGGGGGTCAGAGCACAAAATAGCTAATGCATTGAAAATTTATGTCTTATTTTATACAAGAAAAGGATTGCTCACAGACAGCTACCAGCAATCTTTGGTTTAAGTTACATGCATTTTCACTGTTTCAGTGTTTCTTCATGTTACCATAGCAATTTCCTATATACATCAGAATAAAATGCTGATGGTGAGATGCAGTAATAACAGAAGTGTCTCATAAATGAGAATTTAAAGTTGGACTAGAAAAAACTGCTAGAAATGATACTACAGGAAACAGTCCTTTCTGGATATCTTAATAGGTCTGTTTCCACTGAATTTCTCTCCAAGGATAAATTTCTCTCCTGCATGAGATGATCAGCACTGCAATTCGTCATCATGGGAAACTGCTGCATGTAACTGAGTGTTTTTATTACCTTGCTCAAGACTTTTGAAGCCACTGGGCACGGGCATATTCTGGCACCCATTCTGATCCTGCATGTTCAGAGAACTTCGGAACTAACTTAGGAACAACCAGCAAAGGTCAAACTGAGATCACAGAAGAGTCTCAAATCATCCAAATGCCCTTTTACAGAGGGGAGGGAAGAAGCTTTGGCTGGCACACAGTCAACGTCACAAGGTGGCACCTGACATTTTCACACAAAGCACTGGGTCTTATTTTTCAAAGGAAGCTTTTGTAAAGAGTTCGGCAAAGTTTATCCTAGACTCTAAAGTGACTGCTCTGATTCACAGCCATTCTTAAAAGACTTTCCAGAAACAATCCCATTCACTTCTCCTCCCCATCATGCTAAGAGCTTTGAAGGCTCCACAGTCAATAAGCACCCATAAAATATAATTAGGCTTTGCCAGCGCTGAATGTGTCATTCTTGATATGACAATTTCATTGATTTATTAAAGACTTTCTCCTTCCCTGGGACCAAACAAATGGGACTGAGCATCAATGCAAGTCATTAGTTATGGCAGTGTTACAAATGCGTGGGCCCCAGATAATCAACGTCTGCTTTCCATGAAAGCAGAAGGGCAGAATTTACAACTTTGCCTGCCTTTTCAGCCTTGCACAAAGCTCCCTCCATCAGGACCAACATAGAGCCTGTGCATTTTTGGAATCTTTCTAGAGGCACAGCCAGCCAAGCCTTAGCAACTGCTGTCTTCTCGGACACTTTCTGGCTGTCACTTGCTCTTCAAAAAAAACAGACTGAGTGCACTAAATTAAGGAGCAGTCCACATTACCATTTTAAAGTCTCAGTTGGAAGCAGGATAACAATAGACCCCATGGCATTGTGTTAGCCTCTCATTTGAGAAAAAGAGGAGAATGATGGGCTTCCACTAACAAACATTATTACCTTTCCAAGATTTATCTGTTCTCCTGATATGAAAGCAGCTTAACACACAGAAGCTAGCAATAAACGAACATTTAGCCTAACTCCAGATACTGCAGATAAATCATGGGGTTTATTGTCCCAGTGGGGCTCACCATTGTTTTGAAGGCTACGTAGCTAAAGAACTTGGAATCCATCACAAAAACAATGAGTCTCCTGCACACCACCTTCCCCACTGTTCATCTCTGAGACAGCCACAGATGTTAAATAAACCTGAGAGATTTTTCAGCCTGTAAGCATGAAGAATGCCAAAGTACTGCCTGCTTCAGCAAAGGGTGACCTTGCACAGGTTGGGAAAGCATGCCACAGGTGATTTAAATGCTGCAAAAATTGTCCTTGTGCAGGTGCTTCTCTTCAAATGTATCCCAAAGCAATCTGCAGTTACATACGTAATACAGTAGAACACCACCACTTCCAGAAGAAAACCCAGATGCAAATTAGCTAACATTAGTTAAAGTCAAGTGTTTCTTCCTTTTATAGGCCCAGTTTTCCCCACATCCTCAGCAATGGAAGTTTCCTATTCTCATTTTACATAACCAGCTTCACATCTAAGCCCAATAGTTTCCACTTGCAGATTGAAACCTGTATACAATGGACTTTTTGGAGGGATTTAGCATGCAGAGTACAGATGTTGCCATGTTCCAAAGTTTTATCTATAAATTTTTTCCTACTCTCCCCTGAAGAGTGGAGTCTGTTCTGTCCTACGATTTTTAACCACAGATCTGGGGCACATCTTGTGCTCAAGGGCAATTACACATCGAGGCAGTTACTCTATGGCAGAGAAGAGACATCAGTATGTCTCCCATCAGAGACATGGAAAAAGAAAAAGATCAGCTTGATCTTTCTGGCCTTTCATAGGAGAACATTGACTAATGGGAATATAGGCTTTCTATTTAAGAACAAAAGGTCTTTATCCAGTTTCAAACTATAAGCTATTGGTGAAAAGCTTGTTGCTGTGACTTTTCAATGACAGAATTAAAGAAAATTGCAATTATCTGCCAGGAATGTGTGAAGATAATGATCTGAGAAACTACTCAGAGGGGATAGAGTGTTTTGTACAGAGATGAACTTTCCTGTGTCATTCACTCATCACCATGGCATCACAAACATCACACAATTAAGTCTCTTTGAATCTTGGGAGGACTAGCACAGTTGAGAAGCACAGAGTTAGAATCCCCATGCCTTGTATTCCCTTCCCAAGCCTGCTACGTATCTCCCATAGGATGAAGGAGGATTCATTTTACTGTGCACCTTCATTTTGCATTTTGCATTAGATGGACCATTCTCTGTCCATCCGGTCAGTTGAGATTTTCAGCTCCTCAGGAACACTGGTGTTTGTACAGTGTGTATAAAAATGGGAGTTCAATCTTGACTCAGGCTTCTAGGCATTATCTCAGTCCGTACAGAAGGGACAACGTTACTAAGTGATGACATATCATAGGCACAGGGAATTTAATTGACTTTTCCAACCTCAGGAAGTCTAGCAAGAATATTCCATGTAGTTTTTAAGTACCAGTCCAGCATCTTTGCAGACTTATTCTACCACTTGCACAGCTCCTCTAGAGGGACACTGGGCTTCGGTCTGGTGAGTTTTAGGAAGCACACACTGGGAAGTGCACAGTAAGAGGAAGTTGTGGTCCCAATGCTGCTGGGGAGAAGCATCTGTTAAGTTCCTTATGTTGCCTCCTCCCTTCAGAGAGCTGCGAAGGTTTGCCCCTCATTGCCCAACACTCCACAACAGCTTCAGATTTTTATGCACAATTTAGAATTGATTATTTATAATTTATTTCTGAACTGATTCTGTCACTTCTTCCTCCTACCTCTCTCTGGGGAACCTGAACTGTGGGGAGCCTCTGTGGTTTGTAAGTACTCACCCTGCATGCATGAATATGTAGGTTAGGTACCTCCAGGCCTGAGCACGGAGCTGAGGATGGTAAAGTAATGCGTTCTTCAAGTATAAGGGATGGGTGACTTGCAGCACAAATCTGTCTAATACCACTCCATTGTAAAGAAAAAAGGCAACCTAGAAGAGTAGGAAGATTCCTTGGTTAGTAAATGCCTTTTCTTGCTGAAAAGCACTTTGTAGCTCAAAATCATGAAGAAAGTCAAATGTACAGTAATTTGTTTTCCTATTTGACAGCTTCACACAGTATGAAGGTTCCCTGTTTTGTGGAACCTGCAACACATTGATATAACTCTATATGTGGCTTTATGTAACACACCAGCCATTGAGTCAGAGAAACTCAGCACCCTACTGATCCGTGCTGTATTATATCCTTCTCTGTGCTTATTCCAGTGCATCACTCAGCAACTGTGCAAATATCTCATCTGGGCAACAGATGAGCAGGTCAGAATATTTAATCCAGTTTCTCTTCCTTCCTTTTTCCCTCCATTCACAAAACAGAGGTAATTGTATACAAATTTTTCTTCCAATTCCATTATTTGAATTACCAGTTTCCCTAGAACTGTCCAGATTTTCACTTGTCAAAAGGTTTTGCTATAGTTTCCTAAATTCTGTAGTTTCATACACAAATTGTTTCAATGACTAACCATGCTTGGAGACAGACAGAATCACAGCCTCCACTTATACACATGCATACAGGTAAGCCAAAATGGCTATCAGCTTCGTGCCTGTCCTTGTCTGGGTCTAAACGAGTCCCATTCTAGTCCTTGTTCATGTTCCAGCAAAGCCTTGGCAGTGTGGGGTGTGTTCCCAGGGAGAGTGAATTAAGGTACTTGCCTCTACAATAGTGATGGTAATCATGAACCAGGGTGGAGGGCAGCAGGTATAGCTGTCGTAGTACCACTTGCGGTCTATCTCTCGTGGCAGGGTTTCATATGCAACATGCCGGATCAGCCTCTGTGCAAGGCTCAGCCCCGTTTCCTCCAGCAGCGCCTTGCTGCACAGCCTCCTGTTCCCCTGAAGGATGGCTTGGCGGAAACTATTGGACCTTTTGTTGCTCATCTGGATAAAAAGAAAAGGAACAAACAATGAGGACAAAGCAAGGCCTGGCACAACCATCCAGGGAGATTAGTGCCAGTTTGGCAGAACCAGGCTGGAGCTGTCAGAACCAAGTCTCAGCATGATCATGGGGTGACCTACATGGGGTGTGAGGAAAAGCAGTACCAGGGTCTGCTATTAGGATGCCAATAAATGAGGTCAGGAAGAACACTGGCAAGGCAGAGCAGAGGCTGCTGATGTACCTCGCTGAACTTTCTGGACATTCTCCAGCCTTCCACCAGTTACCATGATCCACATTCCGGTGTCCTCCTTCCCTCAGCTCCCCGTGCTCTATCACTCTTCCCTGCACCTGCCATATCTTGGGGCAGAAAATTTCTTGAATGTAGCAGCAGGTACATTCACAGCATCTAACCCTTGTGTTCTGGTCCTTGTTGGCTGGAGTTAGCTCTGGGCACAGAAAATTATCCCTTTGTGCAAAACAAAGGTACATGAGCAGCGGCAACAAACCACCAGACTACACTGGTGTGCAGGCTGTCTTAGCTGCTCTAAACTTGCAAGAGGAAAGGATTTCTTTTAAAACAGTTATCCTCAGAGGGGGCAGGTTTTGAGATGGTGCATACTTTGGAGGATACAGCTAATTTGTATATGCATTATCATCTTACATGCATAGAATTAGCTATCTATCTTTTTGAGCGCTTTCCTGATTTGTATGCATAATTAAAGCAATTGCATTTGCAAATTAGGCAGATGGAATTTTATGCCTAGCCTGCTGGGGGGGGTGTGTGGGAAATTGAAAAAATCAGGTCTGAAAGAGCTTGCTCCAAGATTTGGATAATTGCTAATTAGCCCTTATGTTAAACAAACCTGCTGCACTAGAGTCGCTGTCTGTAGTGTCTGAGTCTTTGGCAGGAAGGCTTAAAAGGCTAACTATGCATAAAGACCACCATAGGGGGACCTTTTACAGTAAAAGGCAGCAAAGCAAACGTGACAGCCTGGTCCTTCTTCTGAAAGGACTGCTAACTGATCTCAGAAGCCACCAGCATCTTCAGTCTCTCAGTACCAAATAAGAGATGACGTTCAACAGTGTTGTCTTCCAGTTGTCTTGGATCACAGTGGTTTCAGCTAATATCCCAAAGACAGCAAAGCCCAGAGCTTGTGCTGTCAGTGCCCAGGCAGCTGGGTAATTGTTCCAAGCTGGACCAAGCTGCTTAAAACACAGTAATCACTGCAGGAGCCACCTCCTGTTAATCACTGGAGGAAGGCAAAGGGGCCATCTGAGGTGATGGCACTGTGACCCATTCTCCCAACAGCTCCCCATCCTTCCTCTGCCTTCCATTTACAGCCTGTCCCTCCAATGCAGAAATTCACTGACATGAGCAACACTGACAGGCAATTGATCTGTTTCAAGTTTTTTAAAACTGGGGAAAAAATTGTTGTTGTTCTTTTTGAGTTGTTTTAGTGAGAAAAAGGTTTACGCTAAAACCTCTTTCTCCTTTCTTGGTATTTCTCTTTTGCTCTCTCTTTCCTTCATTCATTCATAAAACATTTGTAAAAGAACATTTCTGGCAAAAGAAGCAGAAAAGGCAAAGAAAAGAAAAAAATCTGTCCACAAAAATCTTTCTTCCAGTCTTCTCAAGTCTATCATACAAAAGCTTTTATCTAAAACCAGGGAAGGTGAGGGGAAAAAAGAATTGTTGGTGATTTTCTGTTACATTAAGAAAGTCCACTCATGTTGAAAGACAATACTTTCACAGAGAAACATCCACCAGGTGTAAGGCTTTCCTTAGCATTTGCGAGACATTTTTTGGTAGGTAGCAGACATACCTCTGTTTCAAAAGGTACCTTTAGCCACCTAATGTCCTCACTGTGTCCACAGAAAAAAGCGTCACTCCGCGTTAGTTCAGAGCAGCCTGTCAGAGACGTACTGTGCATGCTCCCTTGCAGACTTCATTCTGTTCTCTCTGGCTTCGCTCCTCTTGTGGACAAGAATAAATTCAGACTGAAACTATAAATTTGCCTGCTACAGATGAAGATACCGGGCAGTTGTCTGAAGCTGCTGATATGCTTATTCTAATTACAGTAACATGTGTGATTTTCCTTCCTACCACAAAATGGTTAGTGCTTTTCCCTGCTGCAGCACTTCAGATGAAAATATAATAATTTCCAGAGTCAACTGAAGAAAATCATCATTGCAGTTCAGCATCAAGAAGTGCTGAACTTCCTCAGCAGATGATCACCTCATTGCTGCAGAGACTGGTGAAAAAGATGGGCAGGAAACTCCAACGGCTGCTGACGTTTCTGTCTGTGCTAG